GAAAATTTGTAAACTTAGAATGTGCTCTTAAATTGCATTAATCTTCAAGGAAAACACTCCATTTGCAGATGAAGTTTTAAAGATACATAAATACGCATACAGAAAAAAATGGGTCAAATACGTTTATCATTAAGGTTACTCAGTATTTCCATCAACGATTTTTTTTTATATAAGATATGGTCTAAAATCCATTCATCAATTAAATCAGACTTAGTGATGAAATTTCGAGTTCACTTGGATATACCGAACCAACAAATGAAAAGAATTAACTTATATTAAAGTATTGAATGTGCATTTCTAACATAACATTGATTTTAATAAAACACTGCAATCCATTAATATTACACTGTCAATTAATATTACACCAAATCCGAATGAAAGGACTATTGAGTATTGACTATGAAACGTCAATCGTCGATGTATCTAAATATCGTCTAAATGGCCATGATGTCATCTTATGTATCTTTGAAAATAAATGATGGCTTTGTGTACAAAAACAACTAGAGGTACTGTGAGCGATGAGCTCACTAAATGATACCCCCGCCTCTCATATGCTATAACTGTTGAAGAAGTCCATGTTTTCCTGTGGCCGGGAAAGCAAAAATATGTGTCGGATTAAAAAGTAATATAGGAGGTGCACAAGATTCTGTGAAAGTTGCATCAAATTTCTTTCAGTGGTATGAGAGGAGTTGTGGATAAGAGATGGGTACCCCAAAGCGTAACAGACGGACGGACGGACGGAATTAACGAATTACTATATACCTTCCCGCTTTTCAAGCGGGGGGTATAAATATATCTTCTGATCTTAAATACAGTACTGTTTGTCATTTCCATATTTAATATGAAATATTAGACGTGGAATCAAAGGTCTTGGACGAGTAAACATTTTCTGTCCAGGGGTCACTACCGCTGTGTATTCTTTTTTTCGAAAACTGATTGTGTAATCTTAACCTTACAATGAACATGTTTCAAATTCTAGATTATAGCATTTATGTACCCTTGAGGTAGTAATTAATGTTAAAACTAGACCACCATACCGTTTGACTTAAAGAATATTTCAATATTAAATTTAACTGCAATCTTTTTGTATTGTCTAATTCTGATTTTATTTATCAGTTACATATATTGAATTATCGAAGTCTAGCTAACAGTTGAAAATAAATTTAAAAAAAAAGAGCGTGCATTTTTATCTCATAGAGAAAACGAATCGTGAACTGGACAAAAACATGCATGGACGTTAGACATACCAGATAATGGTACAGGTGAGTAGAGCGAGTTACTTTCTTGTTGTTCTGACAAACCTGTTGTAACCTTTATATGCGATTCAGGTAGACTTGGTAAAACAAAGTCAAATTGAATACACAAATGATTTATTTTCATATACTGTGCAACATGTATGGTCTGACAACTCAGCAATTCAGTATACCAATATGCCTTTTTCCTTTTTTACCTACTTTGAAAGAATCATAAAACATAAAAAAAGTGTTAAACAAAATTATGACTATCAACGAAAAAGATACAAAGAAGGATAAAAGCATATTGATTTTTGGTCACTTGAGTAACACAGATCATCAAAAAGTCAAACTGCACATAAATACGCGTATAAAGTGATATTTTTCAAAAATGATACGCATATTTCTGACATATATGAAACAGGAGTGAAAAAGTGAAAAAACAAAAATGACAACATCTTAAAAATACTTAATTTATTTACACGTAAAATCTTCCATGGTTAAAAAATGAAAAAAAAAATGTCGATAACAAGAGCCATTGATTGCGGAGCATTCTCTTGCAAAAGAGAACACATGTATCTATAATTCAAAATAACATTCAACAATATAAAAAAAACGAGGCCCATGGACCACAATGCTCACCTGAGTAACTTAAGCCATTCTGCCATTTAAAAGATCTCCCCCTTTTTAACATCTAACTTGACCTTGACACTCCAAAAGGATCATAATTCAAACAAATAAGAATTTACACTACCCCAGGATGCCTCGACATAAGTTTCATCTTTTTCCCCTAAATTATTAAATGTAAAACTTTGGTTCCCAATAGTAGCCCCGCCCTACCCAGTGGGTCATGATTCGAATAATTTAAAATTAACACTATACCAAAGGATGCTTCCACATAAGAGTCAGCTTTTCTGCCAAAGTGTTCTTTAGAAGATTTTAAAAGTTTTTTTCCAATATACTTCAACGTAAAACTTAGATTCCCTTTAATGACTCCGCCCTACTCCCGGGGTTATGATTCATACAATTTAAAATCTACACTACCCAAAGGATCATTTCACATAATTTTCATATTTTGTGGACCAGTGGTTCTTGAGAAAAAAATTTAATGACTCCAACCTCTTTTTGTTTTTGTTTTTTAATATCTCCCCTTGAGAAATGTCCTTCATTTTCAAAATTTAAATTTCCTTTCACCTGAGACGAATTTGTATCTAGTTTCGTTAAAATTGCCCCATTGGTTCTTGAAAAGAAGTTGAAAATATGAAAAGTGTACAGACGGACGGATGAACAGCTAGACAGACGGGCGACAGACAAAATTTGATCACAAAAGCTCACTTGAGCCTTCGGCTCAGGTGAGCTTCAGTGACAAAGTCACTTTTGTTTCGCATATAAGGACACATCAATTCACACATTCACAAGCCAGTTACTATATCTTTCCAGGGGATAAAGAAAAGTAGTCAATTTCAGTGTGTCCTACCGTGTCTATTACCCTTTTAGATAAGACATAATGGTCTTTTTAGCGTCCTTGTTCCTGGGACAAGGATAAAATACACCGTTCCATATCAGAAGAGTTGTAAAAGATCTGACTCTTCTGTCCGAGCACCTGTCCAGAATTTTCGTTGGCCTTTGAGTCGGTTCACAAGAATGTATTATGATCAGCATTATTTTTCCTTGATTTAATTAAAAAAATGATTTTTCAAAAATGAATTGATAACAAATCATGTTTCAGAAATGAATTATTAAAAATTAATTTTTCAGATTTGGAAAAAAAGTAAAAAGAGGAAGATTTTTTTTAAATAATTATAAATGATTAAACTCTCCTACCTTTATATGAAATGTTTTCTAATGATGTATCAATTTCGTCCTTCAGTCGGGAGGAAGCGTAACAAACAACCAGGATTAGAGAATATAGTTTGGGAGAATCCTTTGGATCTAAGCTTTGTAATGCATATTCTGGAAATTCTTTGCTTCTCGAACAAACGGATAGATTTCTTTGAAGTTTGGATGCAAAAAACCTTCTCTGTAACAAAAATAAAATACAAAACGCACGTTACAAGTGGTCATTTGATATACATAAGATAATATTGTAAATTGATTTTTCTTTTTACAAAGATTGTTTATATAGTTTCTATATAATTTATTTTAGTCAAAAGGTTTAACGTAAAACAATGTGCAAGCAGGATTCTTACTAGTGGTTGTAATCATTCTGCACCATAGCCGATGGAAAGCACTTGTCCCAAGAAGAGTTGCTATTGCTATATTTCTGCCTATAATAGATCACAAAATGATGAAAGAAATTACAAATCGACCTTATTATGTATATTGTGCCTGTAAGAAAGGTATGAAAAGAGTCCAACATTATTGGTTATTCTAAAATTTGAATAACTTTGTAAAAAGAAAAAAAATCTGGATCTATAAATAGCGATGCATTTTGTATTAAAAAAAAACAATGGTGAATATATCTTTTGGTTTGTTGTTTTTCTTCAAAGACAATGAGACTAGGAATAAATCAACACCTAAGTCATTGATATATTTGATATTCGCAGTGCACGCCATATGACAAATATTATATATTTAAAATGAATATATACTTATTTTTGTACTTAAAATCTGATATAAAGCATGAATATATACTTTTGTAGGGGGGGGGGGGAGATATCAAGTTATTTAACATTTATTTTAATGTGAACATTAATTAAAGCAATCAAAGGATACCCACCTGAGAAAATTTTACAGATCAATCTACAGACAAAACCGTATTGCGCTTGGACTCCTTGGGAAGAATAAATGATTACGGGTGTTATGTATCTTTAATACCAGGTATATGCAGGTGACATGTAATCTTCAATTTCGTCATTGTTTGTATATATATTTTAATTGTAATATATCAAAATCATTAAAATGATCTTTTAGCAAGATAAAATAGATAGACAAGAAATCAACTTATCAATCTTATTTTAAGTACACCATTAAATACAGAGGTATATATACTTTTAAGTCTTACCTAAGTCATAGATATCTCCAGGCTGGTATAAATTATCAAATGAATAGAGAAACAGTGGTATATCCATCTAAAAACAAAGAGAAAAATGCCTGTCAAATATCAGAAATAAGAATCGTTCTTAGATTGTACTAAAAAGGGTTTAGTTTGGACTTTCTTCTGCCTCAAAATATTAATTTCATGATCCTGGCTTTTATGTGAATGAGTGGACAAATAAGAGAATCAATAAAGAATATAATAGGTAGGGGGACCTTCTTGCAATGTCACATAATTAGTTTGGCACATTTACCTATATATTATGCAGAAAAGCCTAAAATGACTCTGTTTTTTTATATAAAATGTAATATAAGAGCTGCCGCCCACTAAAATTGATTGATTGATTGATTGTATATTGTTTAACGGCCCTCTTGAGAATTTTTCACTCATATGGAGACGTCACCGTATGCCGGCGAAGGGCTTCAAATTAAGACCTATACTCGGCACTCAGGGCCATTGAGCAGTGAGGGTTCTTTATCGTGCCAGCGCCTTTTAGGGTTTTTAAGGTCATATCCGAAAGACCCGTGACTTTCACTTCTAGTGCCGAGCGCTTGGCGAAGGAACAGTCACTACCTTTGTTTACGTCTTAGGTATGACGCGACGCCGCGAACGAGAATCAAACCCGGGCCTCCCGATCACGAAGCGAACGCTCTACCACTAGGCTACCGTGACCGGTCACTAAAATTGATGAATATATTGTGAAAAATGCTTTGAAAAATAACATATTAAAAAATCTGTACTTTTTAGACAATGCATGTTTTCCGATAGAAATTAACCGATGATTTATGTCATCTGTATAAATAAGAGAAAATAAGACAGCATTTTTTGCATTATTAGGCAAAGGTTGGTAACACACCCCTCCCGCGAACATAGATTACGCCGAGCTCGAATTTTATCATGGCCAGATGTTGTAAGTGTCAATCAAAACTCAAGGATTGCATGTACTTTGCAAACATCTCCCCTTTATGGCAGATTAGATAACTAGAATTGATTATATGTAAAATGCATATGTAAATATTTTAAAGCGTTTACAATACAATACAAATAGTGATACAAGAAAATAATTTGATTTGGCGAAAACGTGATAAGAGATGTTACAAATGTTGTTTTTATACTTTCACCATGCATTCAATCTGTTCAGCCCCGGGCAAGTGAAAACGTCTCCATGTTTTAAAAAACGCTTAATTCTTGAAAGGGATGTTAAACAACAGAAAAACGAACAAAATCATGCATATATTAAGCAATTATGAATTTTTTAACAATATTATCAAGGACGTACATATGTAAATGACACACTTCAACATTATTAGAATCCAATCAGCTTTTGGTTAGGCGGACGTAGAACCGCTCTCGCATATAGCCATAGTTGTTTGTACAAGTGCTTTTTACAGACGAGCTTTGGTATAGAAATTTGCTGCTCACCTTGTTATAAAATTGTGCGCACATTGTTTCCCAGTTTTTGACCTTCAGTTAACAGATAGACAAACAGACGTGAACAGCCTATTAGTTATTTTTTTCTATAGTTTTGGTGAGTACTTTTTGATTAATGCAATCATGAATATTATGATTATGTCGTTGATTTCTAATTTCACGAGATAAGAAATATCTCTACACTTTCTCTTTATTCATCTAACGTATATTCATCCAATTTGTCATTAATGTTTTCTATTATACACAAGATTAATGAATGAACAAGATATAAACCGAAAGTAGAGAAATGAAATGCATATTTTTTAATTACCTTTTTTGTAGGAAATAATCAAGTTCTCATATTCAGAATAAGTAAAATTCTCATGGCTTAAATTTTAAATCCATCGTCTTATAGTTCTTATGAAGACATTACAGGTATTGATCGAGTCTATCATGTATTACATGTAAGCGTACATTTTTTTATGTCCGCTTAGCAAAACAAAAAATAATAATAACGCAAACTTCCGGTTTAAAGTGATATTGTATTTTGTTCTCCCTGTTTGATGAAAAGCATATGTATTAAGTGTATATCGCAGCGTAGATGTCTTTTGTTCTAAACTTTTAAATCGTAGGATTGAAAGGACAAAAATAAGACGCAAAGTAATTCATAATGATTATAAAAAGAAAACCATCAGTAGATCCACATCGTACATAGCGTTTATCGCAAAATGAAAACATAAAGTTGCATTAATTGTTATTCAAAAAACTAAATGATTATCATAGCATTTGCAATGCTTTAATCAACTTCCCAGAAAACACAAATACGTAGAATAAAAAAAAGAAAAAAAATAGGAAATACTATGTCACGAAAAGATTTTTGATAAACTCTAAATTAAAAATAAATCTTTATTAAATTAAAATGTATACTTATATCTTAAATATTTTCAACTTTTGGAAAATGAGCAGTACAGTTTCAACGGAAGTATCAATTTAACATGAAATATGCCAACAAATTTCGATGGACTGTTACATGTATATGTCTGGTTTATTTTAAATATTTCCACGTTTTGAAAATCGGAGAGGAAAAAGTGAAGTTGATGTTGGAATAAATAGAATGAGTGCGTATCAACACGACTACATTTTTAATATTTTCATTACATAGTCATTACGGCTATTGTTTTTTAAAAATTCCCATTTACACTACTCAGTCATTAGCTCTACATTTTACAGTAAACATAATCGCTTCATTGGCTCTTTCGTTAAATACTGTATAAACAATGATTACGCAACACCTGTTCCGATAGTGAATAGGTATTTTTATGAGGTTTGTCCGTAAAGGTCATGGACAACTTTGGCAAGCTCTGACAAAAATTGATGAACTGTACAAAACTTTAATATTCATGTCCCACTTTATTAAAATGCAAGTTAAAACAGAAACAGGGCACAAGTTATAAAGTTATATTTTCATCAGATACATAAAAGACTCACAATCGTACCCGGATTATTTAAGTAAAGTCCTTATTCTTCGTCAAAAGCTTACGACAAGAAGGATATGGAGATAACGAACAGTATTCAATGTCAAAGTCCATAAAACAATACAAAAGGGAAGCAGAGTAAACACGGACCTCCAAAAAATCAGAGGTGGGATCAGGTGCCATGGACATATATTTCACCATTTAACCCAATACAGTTTTTATGTAGCTTTAATCCGTCATCGAAATTTCAGGTTTCATACTTAATAATGCCTCTCGCAGACCTTCAATAATTAAACCTCTGTCCACACAAAAACGACTTTATTAGTGGAAAATCATGTCACAAAATTCATTTTTTGTGAGCGCTACGATCTCAAATGATGGTCTTCCTTCAGGCATGTCATCCTGTAAACTGTTTCTTTCGTTTGATAATATTATATGCCTCTTTTGTTCAGTATGTTAAAATTGTCTTCCCGTGTAAATATAGCATTTTCAAATGTCATATGTAACATAACATGGATGTTTTTCGTGTCTCCACAAATATCAATCGACCAGATCATGACAACTATGTTGAAACTTTCGTTTTTAGCTTACTTGAGTTTTACCCAATTTTAATAAAACTTGGTACAAAGCATTCTTTAAGGAATGGGTGTTTAAATAGCTGAAAGAAAGGGCTCGGTCCCCTTCCAAGGGGAGACAATTAAGAAAAGTAAAAAAAGTGAGGGGTGATCTTCTCAATCTCAATTCTCAAGAACCACCTACCAAGAAAAGCTGAAACTTATGTGAAAGCATCCTGGGGGTAGTGTAGATTCTACATTGTTCAAACCATTACACTCCGGTGGTAGAGCGGGGCTAGAATAGGGAATCCAAGATTTATATTGAAACATATAGGGGAAAAAACAAAATCTTTTTTTTCTCAAGAATCACTGACTATAGAAGCTGTAACTTCTGTGGAAGAATCCTCGGGTATAGGTGTAGATTTTATATTGTTCAAATCAAGACCCCTTAGGTAGGGTTGAGTCATAAAAGGTATAACCAGGGGGGAAATCTGGTACATGTAAAAATGACATGACCAAAGTTTCTCGGGTAAACCATATGGCCCATGGACTTCTTATTTTTCTAATGGATTATTTAATCTGTCGGAAAAGTATAAGGTATCAAAAATAATTATTTCTACATATAAAATTCATATCATTATCATGAGCTCTTTAGCATTATAAAAAAAGGATTGTTTATACATACCCTCTAATTTTCATTTTCTTTGCAGAGATTATCTATAAAAAGATTACACGTCAGTGTAGTGGCTATGCATGCTACTTTTTAAAAGCAAACGTCTTTGCGATGACAAAAGAAAAAATAGGGTTTTTCTGTAGTTTAGAAGCTCTTCGAGAGATCTTTTCAACTGTTAAACAATAAAATCAAATGCTTCATAAGTTTTTACGATATACTGTGTATGTATTACATATTGAACGAACCTCGTATGTATTAGTCTGAGACATACATGTTTAAAAAAATATTCTGATTGGGAGATTTCTGAATACATATCATAATGATATAATCTTAAATGTAACTGTTCATATTTGTTTTTATTGCTATGACTCCCTTCGAAATGAATCATCCCCTGTGCATCATTAATTGTTGGTGTTGTTAATGCATGCCTGAAGGACATGAAATGAAATAGAGATTCTCATCTTTAACGAAGTTTAAAAGTTAGTTATGAAAATATGGTATACCTTTCAATTCAAGTCATACTTATCAACGGAAGTTTCTGTCATTGTGCCATTTATCATTTCCTGTTATACAAAGTTGTGCAATTAAAAAAGAACTCTGCAAAACAAATTAATCTGGAACAAAGTAAAGGAAATGTAATGTTGTTTAAGTGATAGTTTTTTAAATTAAATTAATTGTTTTCTACATTTTGTAACTAGTACTCATACAATATAGCTCATTTATTTCCTTGATTCCAAAATCATTAAACGTCAAAATCCAGAAAATGAGCTTACACAACACACACTTGATTCTGTAATAAATATTTTAATCCATAGTATGTAATACAAGGTTTCCGACACTAAAACTGCAAAACTCATCGAAATTTGCTAAATCTGAACCTTTAAATCTTTTTAAAGGAAAGGGAAATAAATACAGAAGATTTCATGCATTTTATTTTTTTTATTTGGGACCTATTTTATATGTTTTACAATATTACCATATTTTTGTTTATTATGTATTGTTTTTGTATTTTATCTATATCAAATTAAAGGTAGAAGATTGACCCATAGAGGTACAATGGGAGGTGGTTCGTCTACTGTAAATACGAATTGTGAAGGTAAGAGGTAAATTATTTTTATACATTTCTTTTGGTATAATAATTCATAACATACATGTAGCCAGAAACTTTTTTTTTATTTATGTGCATATTCATTTAAGAATATGATTCATCCCGATGACATTTTTTAAAATAATTTGGGACACTTAGGGTAGGTCGCGTGTTAACTGCATAAAAATTCTGATGACAAAACATATCCTGAAAATTTAAAATTATGTTCCTTAGAATTCACAGCGTATTATCCGCAATTTTTATTAAATTTGCCTACGTAGTATAATTGCTATATCAATGTAAACGCAATATTATTGTTAGTACTTTTATATTCTTTACTATTAAAATGTATGGGAAAATGACGTTTTTAAGCCAATTTTGTGAAAATAGTTTCTTTAAAAAAAAACTTTTTAAAGACGTAGACGAATTACTCAGGAATTTCAAAATGTGAAGATTAGGTAAATTCAAAACTATTAATATAAACAAATCGATATGTCTTCTCGTTAGATTTTTTGCTATATATATAATTTCAAAAATTACTTTTATACCGCTAAAATGTTGCGTTTATAGCGTTATTTACATCTACAACGTCATGTGTTGAATGTAGTCACTCGTAGTACGAGTATAAATATCATGACCTTTGGACTCAGCAAGATTTAAAAGGTGACTCAGATACAAAATGTAATTTAATTCATCATTTAATTTAGTGAAGAGACATATTAGGATGACCAACAACATATTTTCATGAGTATTGAGAAAGTCACATATTCTGACCACAAAATCAGAATGTACGGTATAAACATTTCTCGTGCACGAGAATTACCATGTAGCAACAATAACGCGAGTATGGCACGCCGATTGGTTCAAAATTATTTTCTGCACAACGATCACGATTTTATACACGAGCTATAAGAAAAATATACACGAGTAAAATAAAAATGCACGTATCGGTAAAAATTGCACATAGTTTAAAAGATTTTTACACAAACATAACGAAAAATACACGAATCCGAAATTTTTTACACGATTAAAGCGTTTAATATGCACAAACAAAAATCGAAAATTGCACGAGCAGAGGAAACTAAAAATTACACAAACAATTTTACTGCGCACACAGCTGCGCATATCATTACTATGCACATAGAATATTCATTGTGTTCTTGGTTTTCTGTACTCTTTTTCTCTTCATGTATGATCGAGAATGGAAGTTGCTTTTTTACAATCCGATTTCGAATGAAGTGTTTCCATCTGATCTATGCGAGAGTATTTAAAAGCTTTTTGAGAATACAATGTTTTTCTTATATTGACCGAGATCAAGGATGTATTATATGATGCCAGACAAAAATTGTAACGAGAATGAATCGGTACGTTTCTGCTACAATGAGGGTAAAAAAAAAAAAGTACCCTTGCGTATGATGCACTCGACTCCGAACTAAAAGTACCTAACGATGAACGTACAGTACGGCTGACAAGTGTAGCGCCGTCGAGCGGTAAACGGCACACAATATTTTAATCCAGTGGAATTAAGTTAATAATTAATCCATGCTTCCTCAAATAAGTGTTGCTTCAGTGAAAACACCTGGTTATCTTTTTACAATTTATTTACATGATCTCAAATTTTAATAGTCCAACAGAATGCACAAAATAAAATATCCTTGAACAGCACTGACCAAATGGAATAAACTCC